AATGAGAACTGGACTATCAAGTTACAAATATGACAAATAAGTAGTGTTGTAAAATAAAACTATAATTTTGAAATACAGCTGAAATAAAATTAAATATAAATATTAGATGAAAAACTTGAAAGAAAATGAGAAATGTTGCCTTGGCAACTGACTGGACTAAAAAAGTTTAACTACTAAAATGACAGAGTAAAACTGAAATAAATATAAATTAAAACTATATAGAAATCAGCGCTGTCAAATTCATTAATCACATCCAAAATAAGTTTGTGTTTACATTGTGTGTACTGTGTATATTTATATGCATATATAAACACACATACATACATATATATATATATATATTAAAAAAATATTTACATGTGTGTGTATATATATATATATATATATATATATATATACATACACACAAATAAAATATAGTATTACTAATTTATAATAATATAGTATTAATAAACACAAAGTCATTTATATGACCTCAGGAATATAAAATATGTACAGTCACAAATTGTTTCTGTTTTTATTTATAGATATCATTTTATATAGATTTTTATTATTAGTTATTTATAGACAACAACAACAACAATAAATTGTAATATTTTATAATTAGTTTATTTTTTCAATTACTGTTAAAAGGGTAAAATGACATGCAAGAAAAAACAATTTAACTATAAAAAAATGGGCTGGACCTTCCATTTAAGATTATTATTATTCATTTTTAGAAACTATGAGACTTTGCTACCAGTGACTAGAGCTAATGTTTTATAGCTAATATAGCGATGGCCTTTGAGCCAGAGGTGACAGGCTGATATATGTGTGATGAGCGATGATAGCTTCAGATGACAGGAGGACGACTGCCGAGAGATTTTCCTCTAAATTATCAGCCTCTTCAAAATGTTTATCCCATGTAAACTTATTCTAATGTGACCTAAATGGACCACAAGATTGTTTGCAGCAACATCTAATTATTACGTATAAGGTGTCTTTTTTGTTGTTGAAACAAGCTAAGAAACACCTGCTACTGAGGCTCAGCAGGTCCATAGTGTGAGTGCTAAGTTGCTGCTGACTTCGACACCTTTAGCTGCCACAGATCAAGGCATCCTCCATAGAAAGTGAATACGACTGCAAGGCACTATGCCAGTTCTCGGGGTTTTATGGTCACCGGTTTTAGCAGGGTGTCAGATGAGTTTTTGATGACCATGTTTTCGCTGATAGGAGACCATGGCATGAAGCAAGGGGGTGAAACCTGAGATTGGAGATCCGGAAGGTTGGATGGTATTATGATTACAGACCTTGATTAAGACTTGCCCTTTTTAGTTGCAGACACCGTCTGCTGTCGAGCTACGGTCGGATCTGCTGGAAGGAAGCCTTGAAGTGTGTCCTGTTCAACATGAAAGTGTTGGTTGAGAGTGAATGAACTTCAAAGCAAATCTTCTTGGTCATTTTATTGGAGGTTTACGTTTCTCTCAATTCTCAGGCAAAAGCTTAATTTTGAGGCAAAATTTGGATTTTTTTGAGTTTTGAGTTTTTGTAATGTAAATGGCTCCTCCTGATATTTTTTTTCTTTACCTGTACAAAAATATGATACTTAAAGGTACATTCAGTCATTTTTATGTTGGACTATGCTGTAGTCTTGGGCTTTAGTGGCACCTAGTGGTGCGGATGAAGCATTTAAAAATGCATAATTTAAAACAAATTAAAAGTTATTTGTGTCTTAAGCAGTAAGATTTAGTGGAAAAAAGTGATACATTTATTTGCGTGACAAACTTAAAAAATAAAGCTCTGTGCAAAATTCAGTGAAATTGAACAAGTAAATATAATTTCTCAACGATTCCTAAATCGGAACGGCCATAAATCATGTAGTATCTGATACTGTAGCTGGTATGTTGACGAACGCAATACAAGTGAACATTGTGTGCATCATGTCTCAATCGTCTCAGTACACAGACACAGACGTTTTACCCACAGATGCAGCTGAAACTGTATCCAGCCCCACGAGTATCCCTCTGGACTGCCAGGAACAGCTAGTATTAATAGCCCTCCAGCACTTTCTGAAGAACTGTATCGAAAAAAGCAAGCCCTATTACATGCCATTTGTCATTAGTCTGCATTCAAATCAATCAATAGTAAGTTTTAATGAAAAGCTATAAAATATCGACCTATAAGTGGAGTGCTCTTTTGGCTGATTCAAGCATTCATAACAGGCAAACAGGTGAGAAGGAAAGTGGTTAGAAAAGCTCTTTTAGACTTTGTTTAGATTGACAATAAATAGTTTGATTGTGACTGGATCTGGAATCTTCTAAAATTGTGGTCACATTAGCAAAATTTTACAGGCAAAAAAAAAGTCCATTGTCTACTGTCAATAGTGTAGCAATGTATGATGCATAGTTCACATAGACTTCACTCCCCTTCCAAGCAGTCAACGGTGCAAATTAATGAACCAGTTGCAAAATCTGCACAGGGAAATCCTTTACCCACACGCAAAATGATTGATCGTATGAATTCTTCAGAAACTGAACTGCAGGCATTTAATGCAATGATAAACACAGGCAAACTTATTTTCCTGATTAAGTAGTTTAAAAATTGTAATTTTGTTCTCTTCAGTGTCAAATTTCCTTGTATATACTTCCTCTACACTACTACATGTGATCCAAGTCGCTTTATATTCTCTATCTGAATAACTTACTTAAATAACTAGCTTCCCTATAAGCATTAGAAGCATATAGCATAGTGAAGACCCCTTACAAATCATGGTTACCCTTTTAAAAGCTTCATGTGGTGCCCTCTAGTGAAACATCACACTATCTGTGTACACTCTGATATATTGGAATATATTGTGTATATTTGTGCATTCATTTCATTGTATAACACTGCTTTAACATGTCCACAAGAGGAAAAGAAAAAGAAAATAAGCAATAAAGGTTACAAAGACCTCAAGAGTTTATTTCTTCTCCAATGAAGACTATTCAGAGGAAAGCAGGAAAGAGTTTACCAGACATGTACATCCAGTGCAAATACAAATGTTTGATAAACAAACATCCAGTCACATTCAGCACGATATTCACTTAAGTCTCAGAGTAGCTGGACTCCAATTTACAGTGGTTGTTCCTCTGCAAAGTCTAAAAACAGCTGTTGGGTGGCTGTACCAAATGTGATTGTGACAACCGTGTGTTACAACCAACTAAACAGATATTTGACTGAAACGTAAAACAACTTGAATAGGGAAATACACTGAGTGAAATAATACAACAACACCCCTCCATGCTATAACCAACAACTTCCAGGAAACAATAATCATATTCTGGATGAAGAGTGTTATAATTCAAAATAGAAGAATAAAATGTTTTAACAAGGCATTTAAAATCCATGATTTTCCATCTTTTTCAACATTCACCAAAAGCAAAAAAAGGTTAATTTTCATGCCCCCATTGGTCCAGGGATCAAAATAGCCTTTTGTCGAACACAAATGTCTGTAAACAGAACTGTTCTGGGGCAGAAACAGAGCGCAAACAACAATACACATTTATTTGGCAAATGACAATCATTGGTGGTCAGTTTTTCCACTTTAAGTGTCAATAATTACTGGAATTTGTTTTTAGAAGTGAACGTTAAAAGATGAAATTAATAAAACCAAGGTGCACTATTCATATGTTTCATAAATATATACTTCTACACAGACAATATTAGCATCATGTTTATTCTAACTAAATGGTCTTCTACTATACAAGTGGTATTTAGAAAGCCAAAAAGTGCTATTTCGTAAACTTGGTAAACAGCATCTAAGGAGTCCAGAGTCTAACCCCAACAGACACATACCGACTCAAAATTATTTGAAGAAAGAAAGATTTAAAGTGTCAAATGGCTCTAAAGAACAAAATAAAATAAGGCAGAATAAGGCAGGTGAGAAAAAGGGCTTAAAATGGAGAGAACAAATAAAAAAGCAACTGTCTAAGTGCAATTTAGCACAGCACATTTTGAAATGCATAAAAATGACAAAATCAAGAAAGGTGTTAGGGACAAATAACTAAAAAAAATTAAAAATCACGACATACTGTATGACTCTTCTCTCTTAAGAAAGAAAAGACCTCCTTTAATCCAAAAGGAGATATTAAACTCTGCATAATGAAAAGTGTAAAAAAAAACAAAAACCTTATGCACGAGTGAGTAAAACAGTCTGTTTGGAAGTAGAACTTTTATGTAGCATGTTCATTTTGGAGTTCCCCTACACACGTTTGGAAAAATTAACACTACACCCATTACAGAAATTAGTCTGTGGTTCCTTTAAAGTAATTACATCTTATTTTGGGATACACTATTAGTAAACTAAGACATTTATCTAACCAGTGCCAACATATTCAAAACGGCATTAAATACCTCAATAATCTCAGGGCTCAATGACAAGGAATGAGAATAAAAAATCACGACATACTGTATGACTCTTCTCTCTTAAGAAAGAAAAGACCTCCTTTAATCCAAAAGGAAATATTAAACTCTGCATAATGAAAAGTGTAATAAAAAAATAAAAAAAAACCTTATGCACGAGTGAGTAAAACAGTCTGTTTGGAAGTAGAACTTTTATGTAGCATGTTCATTTTGGAGTTCCCCTACACACGTTTGGAAAAATTAACACTACACCCATTACAGAAATTAGTCTGTGGTTCCTTTAAAGTAATTACATCTTATTTTGGGATACACTATTAGTAAACTAAGACATTTATCTAACCAGTGCCAACATATTCAAAACGGCATTAAATACTTCAATAATCTCAGGGCTCAATGACAAGGAATGAGAATATATTACCAAAACCAGCTAATCCCTGCTTAGTTTGAACTTTATTTGTGCACATTCGTTTTATGGGTAAGACTGGTGATTTTTTGTGCTTTAATTATTAAATGACAATTCTGTCATTATTTATGCACCCTGACGTTGTTCCAAACCAGTATGAGTTTCTTAAATTAATATTCTGCCATTTCCAAACCGGTATGACTTTCTTTCTTCTGCAGAATACAAAAGATAATATTTTAAAAGCATGTCTGACTGTTTTTAGTCCATACAGTGAAAGCCAGTGGGGGGTCCACTGTTGATTTAAACCCCACTGAATTTCATTGAATGGCCAAAAAGAGTTAAAAACTCTTCAAGAACATCTCTTTTGCATCTCTCTGAAGGAAGAAAGTCACACCGGTTTGGAACAACACGAGTGTGAATAAATGATCACAGAATTTTCATTTTTGGGTAAACTATCCCTTTAAACAACTGACTTTCATTGTAAGGAAAAGAGCAGCTTGCACATTCTGCCTAAATATCTCCTTTGGTGTTTTATGAGTTTAAAAAACAGCATAAGGGAGAGTAAACCACAAAATGTAAATTTTTTATGTGCACTACTCCTTTAAAATATGATGTTGTATCTATGTGATAAGTTAACAAGTACCACAAATACTGAAGAGAAAGTTGGCGCGCCCCAAAGGAACAATGTGGCCGGCAGTTATGAGCTGCTTTACGCATATGGATTTCTGTTGACTTTGTTCCTTTCCCTCCTAACTCACTTCTAAAAGCTCTTAGCAACACTAAGTGCAGTGTTTCTTTGTGCAAGGCCAGCGGTGATGCAATTAAGTGAAAATGGTGGTAAGTTCAGAGACGGTTATATGGTCTGACTACACACGGATCACACAAAGTCCTCCATGAGACACAAAGGAGTACCAGCTCCTGTTCTGATACACAAGTAAGAAGCACAATGATCCCCTAACCTTATAAAACAAGACCCATCCTGGCAAACACTTGTGTAAGATTATGGTATGCTGTTTGATAGAACATTATATAAAATACTCCTCCTAATACTCACGTAGAATCTAAAAGAGAACATGAAAAACAGTTTCTTTGCAGTTTCTCCATCGTTTTGGGTTGGAGATGGGGCGGACAACTTCTGGAAGCCATCATGTCCATATAGGGGTATAGGATATGGCTGCCTTATGGACTATCTTATGTCATATGTTGATCCGGGTGAGACTATGTCTCTGGGTTTGTGACTGTCGTAGCTGCTGTGGAATTCATGATCTTCATGTACTGAGTGTGAATGGCATCAAAGGCCTCGTCCCGATGAATCATGGCACCAAACACTAGAGGCTGTGGAAGAGACAAGTGACGAAATTGTTAGTGTGCATTCACACAGATTTTAGTGCTGGATGGTGTCAGTCTGACATCAGAACTGGGTTCACCAGGTTAGCATAAAAACTCAATCGGTTCAGTATGATTCACAGCTGGCATGAATATAATCCTGTTCGGTAAGGATTCTATTGGCTGAAAGAACACGTAAATGATACCCAGTTTGGTGCCTAATTAGGAATCCAGCAAAATAATTTTATGTCATCTTAAATGTGACAATTAACATCTTTGATTATGTCTCATATCATATTATATAACTAATGCTATAAACGCAGTTCCTCATTCAGTTATTTCTGTTAGAGTGCAATCTAAAACATGAGCCTATTTGCTTTTCCTTAGCTTTTCTATTTTAATTAAGTAAATAAAACCTGTGTGCAAAAATACTCGGTCTTTAGTTTTTGCTAAGAAAAGTGATTAGAGTTCATAATTAAATGCTGCTCTTTTGAACACTGTAATCAAAGAATCCTGAAAACGTATCACAGTTTACACAAAAGTATTAAGCAGCACAAAACTGATAATAATAAAAGTTTCTCAAGCAGCATATTTGAATGATTTCTGAAGGATCATGTGACACTGAAGACTGGAGTAATGACTGTTGAGAATTCAGATTACAATTACAAATCATAATAATTTCCCAATATTGACGTTTCATCCAATTAATGAAGCTTTGATGAGCATAAATTCTTGTATGTATATATGTGTGTGTGTGTGTGTGTGTGTGTATACACACACACGCTGTGACTTACCTTTAAAGTGGATGGCGTTGTAATTGAGATCCCCATCCCAGATCCAGGCAATACTGACAACACTTTGTACTGTTAACAAGAGTGGAGAATCCCATAAGATACTAAGCATTTAATAAAATTAAGTCAAACATTAATAAAACATTTATAAAAGACCTTCTGAATATCTGTGATGTCTTGGAGCTTGATGACTTTATTTTTCTTTGAGGATGTCGCCCGGGAGCTGGAGCTCTCGAAACACAGGTAACTAAGAACACAAAACACATACTCTTATCATGAGGGAATGCGTTGTGCCTAACAATGCCAATAGGTCTTGTGCCTCAAGTAAGACAAAACATTTACACCTTTGATTGAAGAAAATGCAATTGGTAAATATTGCCATTTAATGCAATGTTGCCGATTCTGAAAAAGCCCCAAAAACTAATAATTTGCAAAACAGCAAACAAAAAATATTGCTATTCTGGTGCATCTGAACATGCATACTTTTCTGTGGCATAGAGGACACCATTGCGGATGTAGTCGGTTGGCATTTTTCTGTCCCTGTTGATCAAGCAACATCTCCATCCATTCTCGCACACTGTGAATCAAATCACATATTCTTTTACAATTAAACCACAGCAAATACTAATGAAAATGTTCAAAGGCTAGTGCAGTTTCTCTTCCAACCTGGCAGGGGGCGCTCATTCTCTGACAAGTTGAAGACTTCATGAAAAGGACCTCTTTTGGTGCTGTAGGACCGTCCGCTTTCCTCCTCACGGCCAATCCCACATGACATCCCGGCCGACTGATTACTGCGCGCCACCACCGGCTGGATCTGCTGTGAGAAACACGCGAAACGATTGCTTTAGGAGCAGGATGTGCAAGTAAAGCCCCAGAACTGCAAGGTTCCTGTGTGCTGGTGAAGGATCAATGCTATCCTTTAACGCCTAACCAGATAAAGAACAGAATTGATCCTAGATCGGCACTTGAGGGCCCCAACAGAAGCACCCATGTGGGGGAAGCTTGTCAATCGTTATTAAACCAGTGTATGTTATTGAGCCAAGCAGCAGTGGTGACCTAGCAAAGTGAATGATGGTCAGTGCCTCAGCTGCATGTGGACTCCTGAGATCAGCTGGTGCCAGATTCAGTTCTCTGGGTTGAATGCCAAACAGTAGCAACTAGCAAGGGATGCCTGGAGGGTGCTGAGGACCAGTGCAAAGCTCAAAGCTGGAGTTAAACAGCCACTTATCATAGGTATTACCACTCACCAGCACGTTATCAAGATATGTGTTAGAAGTTTGGGGCTGAACAAGACAGATGCAATTTGAGAAAGATTTATGGGCATTTCTTCAACTATGGGCACTTTTAAAGGCATAATATGTAAGATTTTTTTTCTAGATTATTAAAATATCCAAAAACCACTAGAACAGTGTTATATATTTTGCTGACTTGTGTACTTACATTATCCCAATTTTAACTAGTGACACGGAGCGTGTCCATAGTGTCATTGTGTCGCCTGCCATTGACGTCATAAGTTTTGTTTTGTAGAAAACATGGAAACACCAAAGACGCTTTAATATGTTGTGCGTTTTATTAGACCGGTGACGACCGCACAGAGAAGCATTATAACAGAACTTTCAAATGTATCTACTGTGATAAAACAGCGCTGCTTTTTCCCCCCCACATACGCACGAAACAAAATACTGACTAACTAATACAACTTGACTAAAATGTAGCCTATTCAAGGCCAGTGCTCAAACATGACAAAAAACACGGATCCAACATTACTCAAACAACCATACTGAAAGTAAATGTATGCATAAATCATTTAATTTCTATTCTAATTCATCTGATCCCAACTTAGGCAACTGTAAACTAGCTTAATTAAAAACGCCAATGTGGCAACACCAGAAGAGCCAAGCTTTTCAGAGTTTCTAGCAACCTACTCAAGACATTTAGGCCTATATAATCATGTGGGGAAAAAAATCAGAAAGTCGTGTATGAATACAAAGAGATTATCGTTTCCTTTTAATACTCAACAAATGTCTCCATAAAGTGTAATTTGTTGCTAAAATTTGTAAAAGCTTGACTTCTCTGATGTAGTCACTGCTTCAAAATACTATTAGGCCTATTATACTACACTACACTATAGTATACTACAACAGAGCAACTCTCAGATATAAACCCTGCATGTCACACACACACAGAATATCTACACTATCATCTGGTCTGATGACGATGGATCAAAAACATCTTGGTGTTTTTCTTTACATTCTTGTTGACTTTTTGTGCAAATTAGTGAGAAGATGCATTTTGAAATCAACAGTTTTTGATCCAATCGTCATTGTCATATTCCTGACAACACACACACACATATAAACACACATATGCAGGACCAGCCATTGGTGGCAAACACAGGCACTGTTGTCAAACCAAAGGCCACACTAGATCCCTACCTTTTCAAACCCAGACAGCTGAGAAAGGAAAAATAACAGAATAAGCATGTGACAGACCATCACAAAAAAACTAAAGCCTACCAATTATTAACCAAAAAAGAAATTAAATTTCCTCTGTTGCCCGAACTTGTTTAATAATCATGCAGACACCTTAATGACTTGCTCTGTCCTCCATTTTGTTCATTTTTTAATAACTAATTATTAGTTTATTTCTTTTTAAATTTCATTTGGTATTATGTTTATATAATCTGAGATGCATGTTACTAGTACCAAGATAAAACTCTTATTCTACATAAACTCTTATACTAATAACATATATATTATATTATATTATTTTACTATATATTCTTAATGCCATCTCGGCCACTCTTGAACAAGAGTTGCATCTTGGTTAAATGAAGGCTACTAACTACAAGAGGAAGTCACTGCTAATTTTCAGTCGTAACTGACGAGCTCCTCACAAAGACACAAAAAGAGGAATCAGGATAAATATTTTACAAGTTTTTCGAATGGGAACAATGAGGCTGCACACGTGCACAGTTTCACTCACCCGTCTGTTCAAAGTGGCATTGTTACGCTCTTTGAGTTGTGGGTCTGTGGGTAAATTATTCCATACAATGTAGGGTGTGTCGTATTTGTCCCTCAATTTAGGGCAGCTTTTGAAGAGGAAGTCAATGATGAAGAATTTAATGCCGGCATAGACACCTAAAAATGTTGCAAATAACAACAGATAAAAATTAGAGACTTGAGCCCCCCCCCCCCCCCCCCCCCCCACCAATCAAAATACTATTAGGCCTATTATACTACACTACACTATAGTATACTACAACAGAGCAACTCTCAGATATAAACCCTGCATGTCACACACACACAGAATATCTACACTATCATCTGGTCTGATGACGATGGATCAAAAACATCTTGGTGTTTTTCTTTACATTCTTGTTGACTTTTTGTGCAAATTAGTGAGAAGATGCATTTTGAAATCAACAGTTTTTGATCCAATCGTCATTGTCATATTCCTGACAACACACACACACATATAAACACACATATGCAGGACCAGCCATTGGTGGCAAACACAGGCACTGTTGTCAAACCAAAGGCCACACTAGATCCCTACCTTTTCAAACCCAGACAGCTGAGAAAGGAAAAATAACAGAATAAGCATGTGACAGACCATCACAAAAAAACTAAAGCCTACCAATTATTAACCAAAAAAGAAATTAAATTTCCTCTGTTGCCCGAACTTGTTTAATAATCATGCAGACACCTTAATGACTTGCTCTGTCCTCCATTTTGTTCATTTTTTAATAACTAATTATTAGTTTATTTCTTTTTAAATTTCATTTGGTATTATGTTTATATAATCTGAGATGCATGTTACTAGTACCAAGATAAAACTCTTATTCTACATAAACTCTTATACTAATAACATATATATTATATTATATTATTTTACTATATATTCTTAATGCCATCTCGGCCACTCTTGAACAAGAGTTGCATCTTGGTTAAATGAAGGCTACTAACTACAAGAGGAAGTCACTGCTAATTTTCAGTCGTAACTGACGAGCTCCTCACAAAGACACAAAAAGAGGAATCAGGATAAATATTTTACAAGTTTTTCGAATGGGAACAATGAGGCTGCACACGTGCACAGTTTCACTCACCCGTCTGTTCAAAGTGGCATTGTTACGCTCTTTGAGTTGTGGGTCTGTGGGTAAATTATTCCATACAATGTAGGGTGTGTCGTATTTGTCCCTCAATTTAGGGCAGCTTTTGAAGAGGAAGTCAATGATGAAGAATTTAATGCCGGCATAGACACCTAAAAATGTTGCAAATAACAACAGATAAAAATTAGAGACTTGAGCCCCCCCCCCCGCCCCCAAAAAAACTGAAACTGTCGTACGTCAAACTGAATTTCTTACCAATCATGAAGCCCAAGAGTTTATATGGCAGCAAACAGGAGGTGATGAAGGCCACCCATAAACCAACATAAAGCTTCTGTGTGATTTCAGGCTGCACCCACATGAACAGGCTGTAATAAAAAATACAATCATATATAAACACAGTACATATATATACATGTAATTAAACATCCTTTTAAGAGGGCAGTACTACCAAAATCTTATCAATATCATGAGTAATTTTATATTAATACATTTGAATTACATATACATAAACATTACAATCTATTTCATAATAGTACTTATATATATATATACAGTGGGTACGGAAAGTATTCAGACCCCCTTAAATTTTTCACTCTTTGTTAAATTGCAGCCATTTGCTAAAATCGTTTAAGTTAATTTTTTTTCCTCATTAATGTACACACAGCAACCCATATTGCTTGGCCACATGTCAATTCACTTTCTTTCACTTCTTTCTTATTTTCACAACAGTGAAAATAAAACCAAAATATTTTTACAAAAATAAAATCCTATTTATTTAATTCATTCATTTATTTTTAAATAATTCAGTCAATTAAATAAATTAGAAAAGGATATGAAACTTCCTCTCATTTAAATTTTTTTTTTGGGACGTATAAAAATATAATCAAATAAAAATACTGTTAATACACAAGTTAAAAAAGAGACTATTCTTTGTATTGTATTAAAAAAAATCTGCTCAAAAAAAATCAGAACCGAACGATGTCTCAACCATCACACAGTCATACACCGTCATTCCACCTATCCCCACATCTCAATATCTAACATACTCACTTTTTAATCTTTTCCAATACGTCTGCCATCTTTCCAAATAGATTCTGTGAAAACACATCACTGGTGCGTCAAACAGCTTTATGTGTGAAGCCAAGCAAATGGTGTCTGTATTACACTAATATCACAGCTAGATCAAGGCTACAAATCCTTTACCTGTGCTTTCTGTGCAACATCCAACACTAACTGAAACTTCTCTGAAACCGTAAGATCTTCCTTTGGAGGTTCCTAATAAAAAGAACAAAGCATCAAGGCTTTAATCAAGCAAATTTTAACAACTTACTAATGCTAAGCATTCGAAACGAGGCTTATATTTACCACTGGTTCGGAGACCTCAGGCACAATGCTCCACTGTATCCTCCAACCTCTGAAAATAAAGGCCAGAACAGTTTTAGTATGTATAATTCACAACCATTAAAGCAAAAAATAAAAAATAAAACATTTGAAGCCCATATTTAAATTACAGGATATAAATGTAGCATTTAAGTTTCTAAAAAATGCAATAGTTAAAAATTTAATTTTAACATCTCTTTCTAAATTATTCGTGAACTGCATTTAAAAAATCCTTTTATGCTAAATAATAATTAAAGGGATATATAATTCTGGTTCAGATCCCATGTCATTCAACCAGCACATGGATTTGTGAACTAGTTGTGAATTGAACCAGTGATAGATTATGTCAGACGTACTTTGCTATGAGGTAATTCAAGGACAACCGTAGAATGGCTAAAAATAGAAACATGGGGATAACCCAGCCATGACAGGCAGCATTCATATAGATCTGTGGAAAAGACGAGAGAGAAGAAGACATTAAAATGATAGATGGCAAAACCATACAGAAACAAGTGGCGGCACTAGTAATCTACACTTTTGTATTTTATCACACTGACCTAATAAACATTAAAATGTGTAACCGATCACATTAACATATTAGTATAACCTGAGGCAGGGCTTTTTCCGAGTCTGGTGATGTACAGATAACAATGAGCTTGGCAACACGTTTTAATTATGGTAGCAAAACAGACACTTCGGACCGGGTGGCTACATAAACAGTGATGAATAGTGTTTGAGGGGTTTGTGTGGGTCGTGCTCACAATAAAGGCGATGGCTGACGTGTAGACAGAGTGCCAGCTGGATAAGGCAGAAAGGTTCCTCATGAAGTTAGTTACAGGCTTAGCACCCCGTTCTGAAAACACACACATACACGCAACACACAGACCAGAACACAATCAGTGTTATGCCTGTGACACAGCAGAGGTGATGGGAATTAAAACACAGGCTAATTGGGTATTAAAATTGGACTGCAAACGGTTAAAATATCTAGCGTTATGGCTTGGAGGGGTTTTTCTGGGATGCGGTATGAAAACACTCACTGAGTCGTCTCATATTTTCAGTTAGTCTGCAAAGAGGAGAAAAGAAAATTAATTATTTAATCAGATCCGTAGTGAGGGTGAAATTATAAAGCCAGAAATAGCATGAAAATTTAGACTCTAAGCTGAGCTGACTACAGTAAAGACTTGAGGCTCAATGTCCTACCCATCTTAACATTACAAAACTTTACTAAAATATACAATATAAAAGTATAAAAAACATATAACAAAAAAGTCTGACTGAAAAATAGTTTTTAACACCAAAGCATCAAAATTGCATCTGGGTCATTGCTACTATGCAGTACATTTTCATGGTTCCATTATATACATCTGGAAACATGCTTTGGAAAAATATGAATATCATGTTAGTTTTCTTTTCATAAAATCACAATTAACTGAATTAAAAATTATTAAATTCTCAAATTCAGTATTCCAAATGTTTTTTGTTTGTTTTTAATAAAAATGTTTTAAACAAAACATGCTTACTGGAAATATGTTAAAAAATTTTTTTATTAAATTGAAATTTTTTTATTTTTCTTATGTCTTTTTGTTTTTTTAAGTAAAAACAGCAGAAATAAATCATATATAAATTATAATATTTAATTTTATTATAATGTAAAATAAAATAACCTGAAATATAAATTTAATTAATCATGTAATAGTGTGTAAATGACTAAGTTAGTAAGGGTTTTGGTATATTTAAAAAGGGTATGAGTCTGTCCATGGCTCATATTAAGTCATGGTTCAACTTTTTCATAGAAATAGCTCCTTAAAATGCAACATAAATTACATAATTCAAAAGCACTAGCTAACTGAAATGACCCATCGATGGCTTGAACGGTTCTCTGTTCATCCTCCCCTCAAAACCTGTAATTATTAATCTAAACAAAGCAAAGCAGGCTTTGCTTGGGCTGGTTACCTTTTAGCACTTAGTGGTTCCTCAGTCTCGACTGTATTTTCCTCTGGCTGAAAGCGGAAATCTTCGATATAAACACCAAAGCGCTCATAGAGCCATTTCCACAGCCGAGAGCTTAAGGTCTCCTTCTGTTTGTCCCCTATCAGAACACAAACAAAACAACACGTCACTGAAACAGATTCAAAATATGAGCATCTGCTACCTAAAATGGATGTAATATTGTCATAAATCAAATGTGCATTATCACAAATGGTAATCCGTGCAAAAATTGCACTAAAAAGAAACAAACTGCTCACAGAATGTGACACTTCTAGTGCAGAGAGATATGTAGGTTTAAAGAATGGTGTCCAAATAAAAAAGAAGTCTGGTTTGGCCTTTTTTTGGGGATGTTTAATTACAGGTCAAATTAAAAATGAATGCCGTTGACAAAATAATAAGAGAACGATGACAAAATATCTGAAGCATGAATGAAAGCGATTTAGTCAAAAGCTAAAATCCTCTATCAATCAGCTGAAGTGATGGATAAACTATAATCATGTTCCTCAAATGAACTTTAGAATAAGGGCACTGGTTCTCATTCACTAATAAAGTGTTCTTACCCACACACAGTATAAAACTGACCCACAAAATTTCAGGCAGAACAGGTGCATTTGCAATTCAATTTGTTCTTCTCGTTCTAAAGTTGATGAATCCGGATTATTCTAAATGAATGACTGTGTGCCGCAGCTAGTAATTACACAACACACATCCTAACCATCTCTATGCAAGAACACTCACGCAGCAAGAGTAAAGCCAAATGTGTCAATCTCAAAACCAAATGAAACAAACACATCTCATTTAGGTCTAGACTACATGTGATCATGTTTTAGACCACTATGCAATATTATGCAAAAAAAAAAAGAAAAGAAAAAGGCTCCATTCTTTTGCAGATTCCATTGCAGATTAATTCCATTGCATAATATTTTTTTTACTCAGAAATAAGACTTATTGTAGGGTCACCTAGTTATTAATTGTCTAATAATATTGTGCATATAAAATCTATTCACCTTATGTAGCTTTCCTTTGCTAAATAGTCTACAGATATAAGTAATATGTTAGAGAATAAAAGAGATGACTGTGTTGAAAAACAACAACAACAAATTAATAAGCCTGTAGGGGTCAAAACAACAACAGGCAAAAGTGAATATGATAAAGTATTGATTTAGAGATCAAAATTTCAATATGAATGTGCAAGTAAGTGGGTCTCACGACTAGAGATCTATAGAGAGGATAAACTGAGATTTACCTGTACCATTGACAGAAGTGACTTGTGGTTTTGGAGGTGGAGGTGGTGAATCTTCTAGTCTGGATCAAGCACACATATTGTTTTACTTGCATTATTAACTAAAACTGAACATATGTTTGTTAATGTAGAAAATGCAGTTGCATGAAACTTTCATACTGTGGAAGAGCATCACCTCTCATACCTGGATCTGAGAATTTCATTCATTTTCTGTTCGAGATCGCCTCTTTTTGATTTCTCTTTCTCCAGTTCCTGCTTTAGGGTCTCAACATTTGTCTCCTCTCTGAGCTTCCTCAACTCCTCCTCTGTAATCAATACACAAAGAAAAAGAGTTTGTTCAACTGCGTGATTGAAAGACTGAAGACACAAATCAGCAGTGGTGTGGTTTCACTGGAAACATTCAGCATGCTTGAGGTTTCTTTGCCACAGACATCAAATACACAAGAATAAGAAAGAGGAGTCAGCTGGTCGCTGTTGCATGATAAACCCTGACAGCACGATCAGTATCACCCTGTTCAGGTTTATTTTGCAATAATGACTTGCTAAATGTACTTTATATATGCCTCTGCAGTCTGCACATAATCAAACAAACATGAAATATTGATTTAATATCTGTGAAAAGACACTGCAGAGTGATAAAGACCAATGAAGCTAGCACTGCTAGTTTAGCACCATTATGCAAAATTATCTGACATCACAATGCAACTGACCAATCACAATCAGGTATTCCTGTAATAAGAGAGCTGTGTAATAAGACAAAATATAATCATATCATCATCTAGATACAAATAGAAAGTAAAATAGGCATTCATGATGATACAATACTGAATAATTGGCACATTTTCCCCCACATTTTCTGTGCTAGCTGTGGAGAAAATCCATGGGAATAAATAATATGGTAAAATGTGTTAAAACAAAAAAGCAAACAAAATTAAACCAAAAAAAAACTACAACATAAAAAACACCCCACAAAATCAAAACAAAAGAATAAATAAAATTTAAAAAAACATACAAAACCAAAAAAAATAAAAAAATAAAAATACAAAAAATAAATAAAAACATTAACAAAAAAAAAAAACCTAAAGCAAAACTATTTAAAACTGCTGAAATCATTTTTAAATACTGTAAAAAGAATAAAAATGCTCCTACTACCTGACACATATCAAAGAAATCTCTGTACACAACAAAAATGAGCCAGAGAGCATTTGTCAATCAGAAAACAAGGAGGCAGCCTCCTGCTACTTTTAAATAAATTGAATCAAAACCCTTTCAATATGCTGCTATGTTAATAAAAAGCTAATGACTAAACATGCCAGTAACAGAGGTGTGTACCATTTTGCCAATGACAGAATTCAAATTCTGTGGAAACCCGTTGTGCTTTCTGTAGAATCCTGAATTTCTGAAGTCATCCTGAATCTCAAAGATGACACTAAATTAAGCGGTTTCACAGGACAGGACGCTCAACAGAGCAGCCAGAGGATCTGAAAGACAGCACAGGACAGTTTGTCCTTTATCGAACAAAAGGTAAAATATATTGTTACAGTCCTAAAAAACACTTTCACAGCATGTTTTCTGAAAACACCTTTCTGCCTCTTGACTCAAAACAAACACAACAGTCCTGATCGAGTAGTTTTTCCACCTGCCATCTATCGCATACAATACCTGCCTCAAGGTTGCCTGGAACACAAGCCCATCGTCATCTATAATTCAGTAGCTTCTGCGTCTCCCGCAGAGGCGCTATAGTCATGATAAAGACCCCCTGCTGCTGAACTCAAGGGCAGGTGTGCTAAAGAGAAGACATCTGAATCCAGATGATCAGTGCAGACCCCAGGGGCTATTGCTAAACTCAGAGCTAGCGGTCAACAAGCTGTTTCACAATGTTAAAGCAATAGACTGAAATGAATATTTGTAGCCTAATCTAATATCTCAAATGATGCTTCATTTAACAGCCTGTTTAGAGGTTCAAGCAACAAGAAACAATGCAAATTAAAATATTTCCTGTTGTATGCCACAATTTTTAATAGTTTAATAATTTAAATGACTAGAATATATATTGTGTGATAAACTGTGTAATAAGAAAAAATATGATACTTCAGTTTATCTAAATGTAATGGAATAAGCTGAAAATAAAGATATTCATGACCATGCTTAAATATATTTGCACACTTTTTTCTATGCCAATTGTGGGGGTAAACGTCATGGTAAAATGTGTTATACAACACACACACACACAAATCTAAAAAAAAAAAAATCAAACCAAACAAACAACAAAAAAATGACCCAAAACACGCTCAACAGAGCAGCCAGAGGATCTGAAAGACAGCACAGGACAGTTTGTCCTTTATCGAACAAAAGGTAAAATATATTGTTACAGTCCTAAAAAACACTTTCACAGCATGTTTTCTGAAAACACCTTTCTGCCTCTTGACTCAAAACAAACACAACAGTCCTGATCGAGTAGTTTTTCCACCTGCCATCTATCGCATACAATACCTGCCTCAAGGTTGCCTGGAACACAAGCCCATCGTCATCTATAATTCAGTAGCTTCTGCGTCTCCCGCAGAGGCGCTATAGTCATGATAAAGACCCCCTGCTGCTGAACTCAAGGGCAGGTGTGCTAAAGAGAAGACATCTGAATCCAGATGATCAGTGCAGACCCCAGGGGCTATTGCTAAACTCAGAGCTAGCGGTCAACAAGCTGTTTCACAATGTTAAAGCAATAGACTGAAATGAATATTTGTAGCCTAATCTAATATCTCAAATGATGCTTCATTTAACAGCCTGTTTAGAGGTTCAAGCAACAAGAAACAATGCAAATTAAAATATTTCCTGTTGTATGCCACAATTTTTAATAGTTTAATAATTTAAATGACTAGAATATATATTGTGTGATAAACTGTGTAATAAGAAAAAATATGATACTTCAGTTTATCTAAATGTAATGGAATAAGCTGAAAATAAAGATATTCATGACCATGCTTAAATATATTTGCACACTTTTTTCTATGCCAATTGTGGGGGTAGACGTCATGGTAAAATGTGTTATACAACACACACACACACAAATCTAAAAAAAAAAAAATATTCAAATGTGTTAAACACACACACACACACACACACACACACACACACACACACACACACAAAAACTCAAAAACAAAACACAACGGCAAAACAAAATCAAACCAAACGAAACAAAATGACGCAAAAAAAAAAATACTAAAAAAAAGAAACCATTCAAAGCGGCTGAAAATATATTTTTAAATACTGTACAAGGCATGAAATATCAAAGAAACAGATGTTATGAGAAACCACACATGCATTTACGTACTTATTTTATAATATGTAAAATAATTGACCACAGAACATTTACAGAAATCCTAATCCTTTTACATGTCATGAAGGGAAATGTTTAGGAGCCTTACATGAATAATCCTTTTGGGAATTATGTGAGAGCTTTGTACACTCTGGTATGCAACCTTACCTTCTACAGTTAGTGAAATGTGGCAGAAATAATAATGTAAGCAGACATTCATCTTTGCCATGCTAGAAACACAAAACATTATATTTTTTGTTGCAGAGTACAGAAAAGACACTGGACTCAAACAGCACTTACTGTAAATGTAAGGGTAACTATCTGTAAACTAACAACACGCAGGTCGACAGGGAAATGTGATATAAACTCAGTGCAACAAAATAGAGTTTAAATATTAAGGAGCTGCTTAGTCACACTGTACTTTGGCTACTTTTACACTCAGGTTAAAGGTAAAGGTGTCATTTTCTGTGTAGTAACTATGTTTTTTTTTTGGCGTATTGATTACCATTTTTATAACCACAGTTTTACTACAAATACCATGGTTAAAAATGTGTGGTTTCCATGGTTTAACTATAGTAACCATGGCTTTTTGGTTTTACTTGTGGTTGATTTTCATAAGGGAAATGACCAAATTCGGTGTCTAATTAATCAAATATACTATATACAGATAAGCAGATGAGTCCAGAATATTAACACAAACCACAAAGTTTGGCCTAAGCCCTTTTCTCCCATAGAAAACCAAGCAAATTCAGCAAAATTGGGCTTTTCATGTTCCAAATGTTATAGTATGACCAGACTGACTTACTACAGTTGAAATTTCCTTACTGTGCATACAGTACATAATTATTCTTAAAAAAAAACATTGGACGTTTTAACCTTGTGAGTGGATTGTCAGACAGTCCCTTGGGCACTGTGCGATAGCACGACTTCTCCTGTTAAAATGTGCAGCTACAATACACATAGGCGGCTTTGAATATTTTTTTTATGTCAATATAAAGTGGTTTCATATTGTTACAACTAATCGTGGTAGTGATATTTTTGTAGGACTGTCGACTCTATAGAACAGTGGCAAGAGAAAGCGAATGTCCAGCAAATATCGAACCTAAAAGGAACTTTACGGCGCTAGAAAGCGATTATAAAGAAAATGCAGAGCATTGCGTTCTTCTGACCTCATCTGCTTGCCTGTGTATAGTTTGCATCATCAATAAGGTGTATACTGAGATCTTTAATATGGCTGTAATAGTTCACTGAGGCACTTTAAGCATTTTTTCACATTGTTGTGGAATCCTGGAGTGTGATGTCAGAGGGAAACCCCAGTATTACAACTCAGCATCACACAAGTCATGACATAAAGTTAAGTAAACTAAGCAACCCACATCAATATCTTAGATGTAATGTTAGTTGTGTATATCAACGTCGGGTAAAATAGCATTATAATCTCCTTTGCTAGAGAAAGCTGCTTAAATGTGGCTTCACAGGGAAATGAGTAACAGCGAAGATGCTGAATTAAACGTAAACACAGCCCTCGAGTCTTAATCAGCTTTTCTGCAAATACACACTGACCCTGATAATCATAACTTCTATTTACAGCTTGCTTCATTTCTGCAGATCAGTGTTTGTGAATGAATGACTTGCTCTATCTGTTGCTTTGGTCTCCATCAACAGGCTTGCGCCACCTGCTGGTGAGCGACTAACAGCAGATGCAGATCATGCATCAGTACTCTACCGCTATTCCTGCAGTTCCCGGATCTGCAATGCTGAATTTTCTGAAACGTGAAATAAAATGGACTGAAAATTGCCTTTCAAATATCATACATTTTATTTTTAAACAGATTGAATATTTCGGAAGAGAACTTTGGAAGGCGAATATGAATTATTGCATTTTTAATTTAATTAATTGAATTTAAATATTGACAGCTTAAATAAACAACTGTTAAATTTCAGCCCATAAAAATGCAAGCACTGTTAATACAATGCATTCTTTTTTTCAGTTAGTGCAATTCAACATGCTTTTTTGTTTCAAAACATATTTGTCATTATTTTACTTCCATACATTAGTAGCACCAAAAAAAAGGTGGAAATATACATAAAAAAAAATGTTTTCATAAAATGAAAAAAAAAAATATATATATATTTTATTCATTTAAATAAACTCAGATTTTTTGTGTCAATTATTAAATGATAAAGTAATTGCATAATTAACACATAAGCAATCAGCACATTGTTCAGGCAGTAACTATGTGGAACGAACTGTGTAAACAACATTTTTATGGCTTGGCATTTTTATGGTTTTCCAGCTTCCTTTCTTCACTAAAGCTGTGTGCAATCTGGTTGCCCTCTCTGAGTGACACGTACAAACTTGGGCCTCCGTTCACATTAACTTGCTAAAGCATAAAAGGCTTGGTGGAAAAAAAGATAGCATCTAATGGCCCATCTACATCAAAGCAATTAAGCATATGAAAGCCTTTCTGACTGACAGCATCCTTTGCACAATCAGCCTCTGCCAGAAAGACCATGGACACAATAGTGAAGGCTACCCGAAACCATGGACAAATGCTAGCTCATCATAGAGCTTTCTGATTAACTTTAGTGTGAAGGAGTCAATAGCTGTCAGCACAACTCTATTGTAAAACAGCTGCAGCTTCCAAAGCGGTCACATCATATGATTCAAGAACAGTGACATGAAGGATGAGAAGCATGAAGATCTGTCTTATGATCTTATAACTATTTGTTACTGGCCACTGTCATAAACCAACATCTCAAACTAGTTTATTTTAGTCTGTTATTTAAACACACACACACACACACACACACACACACACAAACATTCTTAAAGTAATAAATTAAATAGATTTTTGATAAAGTATTGCATAAGGTAATAACGTAGTAGCAAATTTCACCTCATTTATAAGCATATTTATTTTGCAATCCTACTATAACTATGCATGATTATATGGTTGTTTGCATTTTATTATTTACATTTACCATTGTCTTTTTTTCCCCTAGGGTTCTTATCGTAGATCTGTGATCCATTTTTGGGTCACAAACCACAGATCTACAGGACAGCCCAGATGTGAAAAAGCACAAAAAGAGCATACAAAACTCTTACAACATCTCATATAAACCTGAAGCAGCATCATGCATGGATTTGAATCACCTATATGCTCTATTACTAAGTCAAAGATTCATCAGGTTTTTTTCTAAACAGGGAGGCTTCAGTTGTGTAACAAACTATTAATAAGTCCAGTCTACTTTTATGGGCAGCAACATTTTTGGCGGTCCCAGTCTGACCTTTTGCTGCTTTCCAGTACTGCAGTGCTCGAGGGCAATGAGCGTGCACACACACACACACACACACACACACACACACACACACACACACACAGGCTCTAAAAATAGACCAGACACTCCCAACCTCCTAATACACAACTAATGTTCTATTTAAGCCAATATTATGATTTGGAAAATTGAATTATCATAAGATAGTATCATGCACCAACATTCTGGAAAAAATATCAAAAGACTGAGAAAGATGATACTTCTCTAGAAAATGTTATGTTAGATTTGTGTTATGAGTGTGTGTGTGTGTGTGTGCGTGTGTGTGTATGAACCCCAGTGGAGAGGTAATCTCTGTTGCTGAGAGTCTCACTAATTGAAAAGTGGTACAGGTCAGAGGGATCAGCAGTAGACATGGTGGATTTATCGCTGTAAGGTGCACGCAGCTCTGGTCTTAATGAGAGTGATCTCACTACACTGCTCATGGAGATAAACCGACAGACACAGTGAGCAATCACCTATTTAGCTTGTGACATATTACAGATCTGCAGGTCTCAGAGGACAAATCACTTTTTCCTGAAGAGCTGTTTCTAACAAATTCTGGATATGCAAGTTAAAACTCAATTTTGAAACATCTGAGAACATGTTAATATAATAGCTCTGTTCCAAAATAATTTCAAGGTATTATAGGTGTGGTCATAGGTAAGCAATCCAAGAATGCACTGCAACAAGCTCAGCGGGGGCAAAAAAACATGCAAGATTATGGACTGTGTTAAGAGAAATGTTGACTCTAAACAGATTTGTATTTTATTAAATAATTTTAAATTAAAAGTATCTATACATTTATGAATATTTAATATAAAATTGTTATTAAGGTAGGACACTACAGGTGAATAGGCTAAATATTTAATTTAAGAGACATCACCATATGTGATGAATTAAATATGCACTTTATGTTCAAATGCATTTTGAACATATCTGAGAACAGAAATCTAAACGTTTAATAAAACCAGGTTCAAAATTCTTGCTTCATTTTGTTGACATAAGAGTTAAAGATTTCATTTATTTTATTACTCCATAAATCAAAAAATAAATTTACCATTTAAACAAAAAAACTCAATTTAAAGAAAACGGCCTTTAAATATATGTATTGTAATAACAAATAATGTGTAATTACTGTAAAAAAAGAAAAAGAAAAAAAAACATTTAAATGTGTATTTTGAATATATATTTTTCCACTAGTCTGAAAGAATCTCAAAAATGACCTGTTTGAGAAAGATTTTGCCTGTAGTGCCTTGCCTTAAAAGCAAACATTTATAACAATTATAATACACTTTAATAAAATTATATAATTTAATATGTAGAAATATAATATAAAGATTGTTTTTTACAATTATGAATAAATTACAATAAATAAATTATGAATATTAATTAGTTAGTAATGTAAGGTCTGCCCAGAAGTCCTAAATGATTTGCTGAAAGTAGCCTCTAGCCATATTAGGATTACCGTTCACCGCTTCCACTTTCGTGGAGTCCACTGTCAATGCAGCCAGTTCCATGACAGTTGACATGTGGACAGTAGGCAGCGAGCTAACTTGCTAAGATGCAGAGCTTATAGCACAATGCCTCAAATGACAATGGCGCCATAATAGGGTATAAAATCTGACTGAAAAAAAATCTGCAACAGAGCAGGATGTTTAACTGAGGAGCTGTGATAAAAAATGTAGAAAGATGTAACCCTGTAAAATAGGGATGCTGTGAAAATTATTTCTCAGTTACTTACACACACACACACACACACACACACACACACACACACACACACACAAACAAACACAGGCTCTAAAAATAGACCAGACACTCACAACCTCCTAATACACAACTAATGTTCTATTTAAGCAAATATTATGATTTGGAAAATTGAATTATCATAAGATAGTATCATGCACCAACATTCTGGAAAAAATATCAAAAGACTGAGAAAGATGATACTTCTCTAGAAAATGTTATGTTAGATTTGTGTTATGAGTGTGTGTGTGTGTGTGTGCGTGTGTGTGTATGAACCCCAGTGGAGAGGTAATCTCTGTTGCTGAGAGTCTCACTAATTGAAAAGTGGTACAGGTCAGAGGGATCAGCAGTAGACATGGTGGATTTATCGCTGTAAGGTGCACTCAGCTCTGGTCTTAATGAGAGTGATCTCACTACACTGCTCATGGAGATAAACCGACAGACACAGTGAGCGATCACCTATTTAGCTTGTGACATATTACAGATCTGCAGGTCTCAGAGGACAAATCACTTTTTCCTGAAGAGCTGTTTCTAACAAATTCTGGATATGCAAGTTAAAACTCAATTTTGAAACATCTGAGAACATGTTAATATAATAGCTCTGTTCCAAAATAATTTCAAGGTATTATAGGTGTGGTCATAGGTAAGCAATCCAAGAATGCACTGCAACAAGCTCAGCGGGGGCAAAAAAACATGCAAGATTATGGACTGTGTTAAGAGAAATGTTGACTCTAAACAGATTTGTATTTTATTAAATAATTTTAAATTAAAAGTATCTATACATTTATGAATATTTAATATAAAATTGTTATTAAGGTAGGACACTACAGGTGAATAGGCTAAATATTTAATTTAAGAGACATCACCATATGTGATGAATTAAATATGCACTTTATGTTCAAATGCATTTTGAACATATCTGAGAACAGAAATCTAAACGTTTAATAAAACCAGGTTCAAAATTCTTGCTTCATTTTGTTGACATAAGAGTTAAAGATTTCATTTATTTTATTACTCCATAAATCAAAAAATAAATTTACCATTTAAACAAAAAAACTCAATTTAAAGAAAACGGCCTTTAAATATATGTATTGTAATAACAAATAATGTGTAATTACTGTAAAAAAAGAAAAAGAAAAAAAAACATTTAAATGTGTATTTTGAATATATATTTTTCCACTAGTCTGAAAGAATCTCAAAAATGACCTGTTTGAGAAAGATTTTGCCTGTAGTGCCTTGCCTTAAAAGCAAACATTTATAACAATTATAATACACTTTAATAAAATTATATAATTTAATATGTAGAAATATAATATAAAGATTGTTTTTTACAATTATGAATAAATTACAATAAATAAATTATGAATATTAATTAGTTAGTAATGTAAGGTCTGCCCAGAAGTCCTAAATGATTTGCTGAAAGTAGCCTCTAGCCATATTAGGATTACCGTTCACCGCTTCCACTTTCGTGGAGTCCACTGTCAATGCAGCCAGTTCCATGACAGTTGACATGTGGACAGTAGGCAGCGAGCTAACTTGCTAAGATGCAGAGCTTATAGCACAATGCCTCAAATGACAATGGCGCCATAATAGGGTATAAAATCTGACTGAAAAAAAATCTGCAACAGAGCAGGATGTTTAACTGAGGAGCTGTGATAAAAAATGTAGAAAGATGTAACCCTGTAAAATAGGGATGCTGTGAAAATTATTTCTCAGTTACTTACGAAGAAAGTGCTTTTCCAGTAAGGCTATCTCCAGGTGACCTTTGACCTCATTGAGTCGGTCGGCATCACTCATCTTGTAGTCCTGGATGGGAGCAGCAGACATGGTGAGAGTCCCTGAACCAGCCTGGAAACAACCAGTAATAGAAAATATGAGAAGCTTAGAAGTTCATAAAGGTTCACAGCAATGACAACATTAAATAGCTGTTAAGGTTCAAATGATCGTCTAATGAACATTCTCTTTAATTGAACAATGCAGAATATGGCCACATTACAGTCTAATAAATGGGCATCCATTAGCACCAGTGGCTCCAGTCTGCCAGAGACATTACAGCATCGTCTTCATAGACCTTCAGCATAACCAGGATTCGACAAATCACGGCTCTAGTCACCAACCGGATGCCAGTGCGGCAACTGTAACCATGGTGACTAGCTCATGAGCTCACAGAGACACAGCAGATCTCTTAGGTGAGCTTTCCTGTGCTTATCAAATTATATGCAGCAAATGCAATTTCTTTGAAAATGTGCTTGGACGAGGTCACCCAATATAAAAGCCCTTAATAACATCATTTAGTCAGAAATTGGTTTCCAATCAGTTCTTTTCGTGTAATATGTCATGCAAAACAGAATCAGAAACAAAAGGCCACAGGAAAAGATACTGTAGCTTTACAAAGATTGTTTTTAAGACTAGGGCCTGTGAAGTCTGTGGATGTGAACGATGGAGGGCAGTCTCAGCTGCAACAACAGGAAGACGCCATTTATACAGAGAGAAATACAGTGAAGCAAATGGATGTTTGGGCTGAAACTCCTTTGGGAATTTGGCTGTCTGCCTCTTCATGCAATGCAGAGAAACGAAACTAAATGCAGGCTGGAAGCAAGTGACGGGAATACATGTTTTTTTTTATTACTACTACTATTATTAATAATGTTAAGCAGTATCTGCTCATAAAACTCAAACAAATATTTGATTGATATTCAGTTAAATACATTTAACTAACACTTGTCTATATAAACCGCGGCAAAAATGTATTAAATTAAAATTAGTTATGCATTTACAGTCTATGGCCAAGTCTATAGGTAACTAATTGCATGGGAGCCAACAGATTTCCACTGTAATGCATGAGCTCCCACTGTAAGAGATTTCTGTCAAAAAAATGTATTAATGAATAAAACAAATGTTAAAATGTAAAACCACACTCACAACCCACTTTACTTGTGGAACATGACATTTCCATCAGGACATTCAAAAGAAAAAATTAAGAGCGAGACTTTTATTTTGGCGATTTTACCAATCTAGGATTGATTGGATGGTAAAAAGTGGGTATTACATACCAGAATAAGCAGATCTGAATTAGTGATGGGAAGAGTGATCATTTTACTGACTTGGATCTCTGAATCTTGAAATAGCAAAATGAATGAATCCCGTTTCCTGTACAGAGACTATGTGGGTTTCACGTTCATTACAAACAAACATGTAAACTCTGGCCAACACAAAATGATCACTCTCGAGACAACTCGCTATTCCTGAGTCAGATAAAAGATTAGTTAAATGAACAAATTGTTCATGATCAACCCATCACTAACCTGAATCTGTTGGCTAAAACAACAGCTAAACAGCTGTTTGGATACTGGATAATGTCCAGTGGTGTGAATGGCCTAAATGACATCAGCGGCAAAGAAAAGTATTTTAGAGGACAAGCAACTTATTATATTCTGATTAAAGATTAAGACAACCTTTTTGCTTTGAAATATGTACCGATGAATTATTCAAAATAAGACCAGGAATGGAATTTAAGAACTAAATGAAGTCAATTTTGATTTCTTTCTTAATTGGCTTTCTATGACTATTTTGAAATCTTCAAAATAGGGGTCAACACAATTTTTCACAATCATATCATATCCCTAAATTTTTCTACAGAGACAAACAAAAACACATTTTTAAAAACAAAATGCATTCAGCGCATTCTGACAGATTCTCTCTTGACATTCACACAGAGGAAAAAACGTCACTTACAGGGTCTTGCTGCTCTTCCGTTTCTTTGATGGAGCTCCGGTGTTTCACTGGGATGTCATCATTACATTCGCTGTCAGATGCAGTGGGGGACTCGGCAAGGTCCAGGAACTCATCTCGCTTCGGTCCTCTGAACCTTATCTTATCCAATCGCTTTAGCATGTTCAACACAGAGATCTGTGTCTTTATCTTAACATGGCGGGTGGCAACCCTGTCAGGACAAAAGCAAAAGTCATCGTGTTGACTTGAAACTGTGCAGCAATAAAGAAATGTTGCACAATTGCAGAATACATCTTGATAAATATCATTATCATTTAGACCAAGTTCTGGGCCCGTATTTATCAAGCTTCTCAAAGTGCTATTTTAGTCTTAAGTGCTGAGAATTCATAAAATTTTCTCCTACTATCAAACTTAAAGGTTTAGTTCACCCAAAAATGAAAATTAGCCCATAAATTACTCACCCTCAATTCATCCTAGGTGTATATTACTTTCTTCTTTCAGACATAAAAATGGTCTTTCTGTAGTTTCATGGCACTCAGCGGGTGTTGCATGCATCAGTACAAAAGCAGTTAAATAAAATGCGCCCATCCATAAAAATAAAAAAAAGTGTCTCACACTGCTCCGGGGGGTGAAAAAAGGCCTTCTGTAGCGAATCGATGCGTTTTTGTAAGAAAAATATCCATATTCAAATCGTAATAATCACTTTAATCTAGCTTGCGCTCACTGTTGTACACTGGAAGCAGTTCCGGGCGGATGACGTATGAGGTTAGCGTTGCGCATGCGCCGGTGAGTCTAGTGAAAACCAACATTTGTTAACAGGAGCAAAGGAAGCAAAGTTTCCTTACTTTAGCAAAGGAAAACCAGTCTCCTCTTGGCTTATATCGAAATCCTCCGACATTCTTCTTTACAAATCCTCGTTATGTACTTCTAATTAGTGACCGTTGCTTTGTTTTGATCTCTCCCCTGCGCTTCTGTGTTCGTCACTTCTGAGCGGCGCATGCGCAAAGCCGACCTCATACGTCATCCGCCCGGAACTGCTTC